CCCCAAAACCCCAAAACCCCAAAACCCCTTCATTCATAAAACTCAAGTTATAATTTTGTTTGGTTATTAAATTATCGTGAAAATATGAGTTAGAACCTACTCATTCTCCTTTTTGGTTTGATGTTTATATTTATTATGGAGGAAGCATTTAAATGCTCATTTCGAGGAATTTTAGAAAAGGTGAGTTCTGGTAGTAGCTGATCCTTAGTTTTAACTGGAAATAACAGTTGGTGACTCCTCTTTCTAGGAGACTTCTCCTCAATTTCTAAGTGCTGGGTGGTCTCACTCATGAGATACGGTGTTTCTGAATTTTTTCTCTTCCTTTGAGAAGATTTTTGAGCTATATATTACATTTTAAGGCCTTACCACTATTTCTTGCTCTTGAATTTAGATTTTTATTAGCATAATTGTTATTATTCTTCCTTCTAGACCTTTTGCCACCCATTAATAGAGGAAATAAATCTTCATCATCACTTTCTTCATTCCAAGCGGGGTCTTCAAAATGTTTCAGCATCAATTCAAGCGGCTTCTTCAAAAACAATTTCGACGAAAACTTCTGAGTCAATTTACTCAAAGACGCAATAAACTTATCCGTCTTGACCAAATCCTTATCCAAACTACTCTCTTTCCCCTTAAAAGACTCATCAATCGTATCATATATCGAATGCAACACCCTTCTCCTACCCATAATAGAGTCTGCTTTCATAATCTACACTATCATCCCTCTCCTTACCGATCTATAATCCTGATACGCTGGCGTCGTCTTAATCTACACAAAATAACTCCACCCTTACCTTCTTATCCAACTTCATCATCTTTGCCCTATACATCATCTGAAACCTCTTCTTCCAGGAAGCCCCCTTCTCTCACTTCTCTACTTTCCACCTATCTTGGACCTCTTCCTGCACAGGTTCCTTCTGTTCGTCAATTTTTATATGGAATAAGGTTGGGTGACTGGGGAAATTTGTTTATTTTGTTTGTGAGAGTGGATTTTGTGCTGGAATTTAGAGATTTGGTCTTTGATGTTGAGGGTTGGAGGGGTCGTCATGTCTAGTAGGGGGTTAGGTTTTGGTGAGGGGGATGGTAGGGTTGGGAGTTTGGGGGAAGAGTTGGGTTATTGAAATTGAGGTTCCTTACTTAACTTGTTGGGCTCGTTTTGTTCGATATTATCGAATGATTTATTGTTACTCATTCTGCTTCTTCCCCCTCTCAAGAGTGTATTCTGACTATAGAGCGATAAAGTTTAATATTTAGGAAAATTTTATTGTGATTTAGAAAATCACTGTACAGGCTGATTTAAAAACTTTAAGGGTAAAATAAAGAATACATAAGAATAGGTATTTGAACTGAAATACGATATGTTTAGGACTAAAATTCTTAAAGTTTAAAGCAAAGAAATTACCTGATAGCTTCATCAAACATGGCTACTTTCTCAGGGTCTTTCATGACTTTAGAGATCCCTAGCTTGGCGATCAAGGAAGAAACTTGCTTCTTTAGGTAATCTATCTCATCAATATTAGAATGTTTTCTAATTGGGAGTATTGACATTAATAGGGTCTAGTAGCTTGCTTGGTCGCTTCCTCTGTCGGATTATCTATTTTAGTATTAGCTAAAAATGAAAAAATTTCATGAGTTTTGAAGAATCTTATTTCGACAAAATTAGATAGAGAATGTGCTTTAATAGGTTGTCAAATGCATAAAATAAAAATGGCTCAAAGTTGGTAAGAATCAATGATCTTGACATTGAAGTAATTCGAATGGTGTAACCAAGATTCTCCACGCTTGATTTAATCACAATTATGATTCTGGCATTTGGTTTTTTAATTTGTCAGATTTTGGAAATATAAAATGAAGGTAGCATATTGAATTAAGGAGTTCTGAGGAAAGGTACTTTTATAAATGAAATTTCACTTTACATCCTTAATCTTTAAAACAAAAAATTAGGCGCTCCTAAAATCTGAAAGATTTCAGCATCTCTCTCATTAATATCATAACCTGACATGTCTTTTTATTAAAAAAATTGATTACTCTCCAAATAACACATCCATTTCAAACCAACCCTTCATCTACAACCCACCAAAAGCACTACACTAAAATCCCCTCCAGCGCTCTTCCACCTCTAAACTCCCCTTTCACTCTTTCTCTTCACTAAAAATCCCAAACATTTCATATAAAAATCTTAAAATTCCTTTAAAACCCTCGGTTTCTTCTTCTGCTTAGGGACCTGTTCTACCATAGGATTGGAGTTAGGCCAGGATTTAAGGTTTAAGGCCAAATATTAGAGAGAGGGTTTTGGATTTGGAAGAGTTTAGAGCAGGTATAGTGACCGGGAGAGACAAGAGGGAGCTAAAGAGATGCACAGTTTTAGGAAATGTTTTTGGAGTTTTAGTGATTAGGGGCAAGGTGGAGAGGTGGGCTAGAGTTAAAATCTCATTGGGAAGTAGAACAGATTTTGAGAAGAAATGAGGGGACATTTTGATTTGCATCAATTTGTGGTAAGAGACGAGAGTTAGGAGAGAGTAAGGTAACTGTAACTTAGAGAAATTTATATTACACAAAAGAGAATATTCCAAAAAAATTGATAATTAGATTTCACTATGTTTATTTCCAATAATCTCAAAACCCTCAGTCCGACTTGCTCTATTCTTAACTCTTTTTAACCCACATAGATTTTACAAATTAAAGTAATTGTAAAAATTTATGGTACTTCTCTTTAAAACTTCTATGGACACATGAGGTATCAAACAGTGGGATTTTTTATACTTTCAGCTTCAAGCAACAACTTACATCTAGCCATAAAATTTCAAAAGTGGATACTAATAAAGCTAGACTCTTAATTCCCCATTAGTCTCAACCTCATGATTCACAATAACAGTTAGAAATAGCTGGAGGCTTACCTCTGGAGTCATGTTCTGCATCATTCTTGCTCTTGCCACGTTAAAAGGACTAGAGTGCCCAAGAGGGCTAGAGGAGTTATTAACCATTTTATGAGATTTCAGGTTTGAGTAAGTCATATTAGGTATAAATCCCATCCTTTTTGTTTGATAGTATCTTCTTGAGCTTAGTTCCTGATCTATATTAATTAGTTTATCAAAGAAAATTAAAAGTTTTTGAGAGAAATTTGAAAGCGAAAGGTTTTTTGTGATTTTTTGATTTTTATGAAACTGACAAAATTAAGATTTCATTGTGAGGAAGATTGATAATTTTCCATTATGTTCTGTTAAAAATGAGATAATTAAAAGAATACATAAAGTTTAGTGGAGTTAGCTCAAGATTTTATGTAATTATAACTCCGTTTAAAAATGTTGTTGGTGGGTTGAAATATAAAATTTCTTGGATGCTAAATATTTTAAAGCTCAAATTCCTATCCCTACACCTTATTATATCTGTTTTTAATTAGATCTATTTTAAAGAGTAATATTCAATTTTTTATAATTTCTTCAAGTTGTTCAAAGCTCTTCATATATCAAAATCATACAAAAACCTCAACTCCTTCTTTTTCATTGATAATTTTCTTCACTCCTGCCATAAAATAACAGCTTAAAGCCAAGCTTAGACTCCTAGACATTTCTAGCAATCACACCTTATCAGTATGTTTAAAAATTCATTGAAAAAGAGGATCTAGACCATAGTTTATCAGTGCTTAAATCTTCTCTAATTCTTACCTGAATTTAGAACCTCTGATCGAAGTAAACTTAATCCTCTTGACCTTCCCCTAAAATTCCCAAAATTACAATCACACCTCCTAAACCCCCTCTCTTCCCTACCCCATTCTCCCACTGCCCCACCTTTCCCTTCACCTGGCTCTGTTCCATTAATTACACTATTTACAATATTATTTATTTTCTTCGGGGTTTTGGGGTTTTGGGGTTTTGGGGTTTTGGGG